TATAATTCATCATGAATCATTCATTCTCCTCAACAAACGATCTCTCGTTATAGAATCTATTTAGTATATAATTTCCCGTCTATAAGAGTTTTGAAATTTTACAATCGGAACAGACAATTACAATGATAAACAGACAGATAATTGAAATGGAACTGATAAGCATATTTTTTTTTTTTGATTTTTCGGAAATGGACTAAAAATTATTTTTAAATACGAATTAATTTACGGAGCCGGAGATCAAATATTATTAAATTAATTTATATAGAAAATTCTAAGAAAAATTACGATAAAAATTGTAGGCAAACATAAAGATTAAATAAATATATAATGTAATAGCCTTTGATATGGAATTGTCCAATTCAAGCATACAAAATTTAACCTAGATTGAATATGGTAGTTAAAAATTAATCTTATCATTGTTAAAATGATTGACAAAAACACTTATTCTAAAATTATAAGGTGTATCGCAAAATATTCTCGTATTTATTTAACATTAAATATTATTTAACCCTTAACTCTTAAAATCAACATTTTACGAGTATTATTAAAATATTAATATCGTAAAAATTTTATTTTATCATAAAAATTAATTTTATCCTTAAAACTATTTATTTGATTCCAATGATAAGTCATAAGGTATAACCTTAAGATTTATTTTATTGATTTTAATCTATTGAATGGCAAGGCTGCTAATAAAATTCAAATATAATATTAAATTTAATATAGCATATATAGAGGGGAAAAAATAAACATTTTAATTGAATAACAAATACGAAATAAAATATTTGTTATCAACAAAATATTTTGTAATTAAAAATTTATGATTTCAATAAAATTTCTATGTATACATAATAATTTCGTAGACATAAGGTCGTATAAGAATAAGCTTTAAGTTTTCCTAGAAAACGGTACAAAGAACGAACAAAAATAAAATTTTATTCTAGTAAAATAAAAATATTTATCATTGTAGCAGGAAAATATTTTTAAAAATTACTGGAAAGGAGGGGAGGGGAGGGGAGGGTGATCTGGTAATACTTTTAAAAATTACAAAGAAAACTTCATTTAATTGGAAAATTACAGTTTATATTTTGTGCTTATATAAACGATATTTCGTGGCCTTATACTATCAAAACTGATTTTCTTCTATTGAGACAATAATATTTACAATCACTTTATGATTCAAAATAATTTACAGACGTTCTTAGTTCTACATATCATCTACACAATGGTAGGCTCTACAATCTTCAAGTTTAGAGTACATATATATATTTTTGTGGAAAATATCAGAGTGAAGATTTTGTCAGAGTAATTAAGGTAGAGCTTGTGTACTGTTTAATTCAAATAAATTTAGGTAATTAATTATTTTTCATAATTATGTGTAAAAATATGAAATTTTCTATATAACAGTTTAAATTAAAAAATTCTAATGAATTCTAATGAACGCAGCTCAGTTATGCATACCACAGTGACAGTGTTCTATTATACCTAAAATGAGTTTTTGTTCCTTAATATCAAAAATTATTTAAAAAAAAATTTTTTTTGATCTACATTTTACAAAAAAGTCTACCCCAAAAAGCTCATTGATGTAGTTTAATATTACCTTTACAATAATGTTATATAAATTCAAATTTTAATTATAATATGTATTACATAACATTTTGTGTATACTTTATACAATAATTGCTGTCACGTCAGTCATTGCAATTTCCCTTTTATTATTACTTAATTTAAATAATTTTTTTTTCATTTACCAAAGAATTATGAGAGCATATTCAATTCAAAAACATTGAACTCTTATTTAATATTATATTGAAATTTGATCAATAATAATTGTTATACGAGTATATAAAAAAAAAAATTGTTATATTTGAAATTTAATATACATTTATATTTGTACGTATATGTGAATGTGTGTTAATATAGAGAGAGTACGGGGGTTTATTAAAATGCGTTTATGCTATTATGCTTCGTTTACCATCTGTTTTTCTTAATATTTTTTCAATACTTTTTTTTTTTTTTTTATGTCATGCGTTAACATTTTCATTGATTTCAATAATTTTTTTCAATATTTTTCCGATTTCTTTGGGTATATTTTTTTTTATAACATTTTTATTTTCATTTATTATTATTTCTGTTATTGTTATATCGTTTTGGTATATTTATTTTTTTGGCAAAACCAAAAAAATTTAATTGATTTGAAACAAAATATGAAAAAGAAGCAACAAAAATTCTTAAAACTTATGGAACGATGAATTTTTAATGCGGCAAAATAATAATAACGAAATGGTACAGAAAAATTTCAAATTTGTACAGATGGGACTAACATATAATCGACCGCATTGTGCTTATTTTGTGTAATAATTACAAATTTCTCTAAGTAAGAGAGCTCAGTTTTATAATCTCACTAAAAGAATATCGTAAAGGGGAGCAAAAATTGTTATTGCACCGGTTGAAATATTGATAAGCAAATGATATCTCAAAATTTTTTTGAAAATCAATTTTACTTAAAACTGGGATGCGTAAATGAACAAACAGTCCCCCTTTAACGGAAAACCAATATATAAATTAACAGGCAGTTCGACAAATGAGCCAAAATTTACCTTGAAATAATTTTTTTCTCTTGTATCTCTCAAACTCGCAAAAAGGGAATTAACATATAAAGTTAAAACTCGCATTAAAGGGAACGACATATAAAATTTGTTACTAAAACAATACCCCCACTACCTAATATAATTCGGTGGATTTTAAAAAAAAAATTGGTGGTTCAAGTCTCAAGTTACCGCAAGTTTTTTGCATGTTTTTTTGTGTTTTTCTTATTTTTCGCTTTTATTTCATTGATATTAAATATTTATCGTATTTCTGTTGTTGAATTTGAAATAATGAAAAAAAAAAATATTGAATTTATCACGAAAATCATAAAATAATATTTAAGAATAGAAACTGTGTATACCACACTCAATGTTTATTGTATAGTGTGATGTACGTGTGCCATCGGCGATGTTATACACAAAAATACAAATTTGTTCTACTTATATTTCATTTTGTGCGACAGCAAACCGCTATTATTGGAATTTGGGAGCTTAAAGAATAATAATAGAACTACATATATATTGTATATATACTCGTATGTATGTAAGTATGTATAATAACGAAATAATGTAGGTACATACAAAATATTTTTTATAAATTTTCAATAATATTTTTTTAGAGTAACAAACAAAAGCATGTTCATTTTTTTTATGTTGAAACACAATGCTTGTTCTGTAATGCAAATTGGAACACGATGATTTTTTTTAATTTTAATATTTTTTAGTAATATAGAGCACAGATGCTAATTTATACACAAATCGTACAAGTATAATGGAAATTGATGCAAAATTTCATTATAAAATTAAAGAGGAAAAAAAATTTTATAAATTGAAATTCATATGAAATAATTATTTTCTGAATTTTAACAATTTAATTTTAATATTGAAATTTAAAAATTAAACAATTAGAACAAGTAAAACAAGTAGAATATGTATGTACATTATTATTATAACACAGAAATGAGTATGACACTGTTTTTCAGTATGACACTGTTCAGTATCCGTACATGATACATATTGCAAATGTGGAAAGAGAGAATAAAAATGAAGCAAAGAGCGATTACTGTTGTGATATTACTTTAAATAGTATTGAACTATTATAATAGTACAGTTGATGTGTTGATGAACATAATTTGCAATTTGGAGAGCGGGACATATAATATATGGAGATTAATTTTAGTATAATTCAAATATATTATTGCTGTGGCCGGAAATTTTTATATTGCTCTCTATTTATTAATTAGATAATAACTTATTTATTTTCAATGATAATTGAGGAAATATTAATTAATAGTCAAAATTAATTTAAATATTTAAAGTTAATTAAGGGCAATTATAACAATTGATTAATTTTGTTACATTTTATGACGAATCATACATTTTTATATATGAAATTATGAATTAAAATTTCTCTCATTCCTTCACTGAATACTTACACCATTCTCTCTGTTTCTTGTAAAAATGAGTTTTATACATATTTCATTACAAAATTGAATTAAATTGAAATTTTCCAATTTCAATTTAATTCATGAAACTAGGGCATGATAGATATCATGAACTAGCCCTATACTCCTCCTAGGAGTGAAGAAGGAAAAAAAAAAAAAAAATTTTAAAATAAATTATTTCAATATAACATCAAGTATATTTCAAATATAAGTCATTTAGATTACAATTTCAGAATAATTCACTCAAAATTAGACTCAAACATAACCTAAAATTGCCTCCATTTCATTGTTATTAAATAGAAATTTTCTAAATTGATTTCAAATCAAGTAATCTTAAAAAAAACAGAATTTATTTTTATATAATTTTCAATATTTTTAATATTAAAATCTATGTTATAGAATAAATAAATCAAGTTCCTTGCATAAACTGGTATTTAGTACAATTGTATTGTATTAAATTATTCTCTATCCACACACGATCAAAATTTACAACCCCAATCCAACCTTAATAATAAAATAAATATTGTTGTCTTTATTTTACTATCATTAATATTTTTTGTCAAAAAAAAATTCTTATAGTATTCTAATCAAAGATTTACGCACAATATAACAATATTACAATTTTATATAATACAAAACTGTATGATACGCAAGTATGATTGCAGTATGTCACGTTATATTTTTTTTTGTGTTACAAATGGAATGAGAACATTATAATTTGAAATAATAAAAATAAATTTTTTTGTTAATATTTTTATAAACCATTTGTATAATAATATGGAAAATATTATTATTATAATTCTATATATATAAAAATTTTTTATTAAATATAAAATAAAATAAAATTTATTTTTAGTTAATTTTGTAAATAAATAAAAATTTATTAATAATATTTATGAATAAATTTATTCAAATTTTTTTTCCAGAAAATTCTATACATTTTATGTGATTCAAAATAAATATTGAACGTATGTAAAATATTTACGATATAGAAAATTAATAAATAAAAAAAAAAACTTACCCAATTGATGATTCATCCTCAAAATCAAATGAATACTGATTCTGTATATTTTCAGTCACAGGTGAAGGTGATCTAAAATGAACATATAAAAGTTAATGTACACACATAATTAGGTGATTGAATGAAAAAAATTATTATTTAATTAGAAAATCTTATTATTTAATTAGAAAATTATTGAACAGTGGAATTAATTTTCAATAGAATGACACGAATTTTTAATGAGACCCGCTTAATTTCTACTAATATTTTATATTTAATTAATATTTTCTTATTTTTAAATATGTCGCTGTGTATTTTAAATTTTCTAACACAAAAATGTCTGTAAATTCAACCCCAAATTTTCTACTAACAAATTCTTACTAGCAAATCATATTCAGTTTAATAAGAACACTGTGTGTTTTAGTTCAATTTAAATGTCTGATAAGTATTTTTGAAATGTTAGGTCCACAACAGTATTTCCAGAACTAAAATCAAGTGCTGCTAAGTGAATAATCTAAGAAACATGGAAAACTAATTGCAGCTGAATTTTACTTGTCGCCAAATATTAATTTTTTCTTTAAAATGAATTAAACTGATACACTTGACATTTAGGAAATATAAGAGAAAATTTTTGATTTTTGGTACATTTTTTGTTAATAATAATTGTTAATAATTTTTCTGATTCGAAAACACTCAGGCCATTCCAGGTTTTCTCTCAGTTCATGAAATATGTAAGACATTTTTTCGTTTTAACTATAACAACACTGACAGCTCAATACTTTATGATTTAGAATTACTCAATAAAATTTCTTAATAAGGTAAATCCTCTTGGAAAATTGAAAATATATTTGAAAAATTTTTAAAATTTAATAGTAAATCGTAGATTATTCAATACTTGAAATAATTTTTAAAAAAATTTATATGAACACAGAATGTGTTATATGGAGTCTCTACAATTTCTATATTACTTTTCCTACTTGGAATACAAGAAAGTTTCCAACTGAATAATCCGATATTATGCGTTCTATCTTAATAATCTACAATTTTATGACTAATTTGCAATTTATTTTTATTGTCTTACGTAAAATATTTTTACTTCAACAAAAAAAATTCCAGCCATCTAAAAAATTATAAATTTTTTTTTAATAATAATTTTTAATTATCTTACAAAATTTTTCATTTTTCATAGCACATAAATGACCAATTACATACATAATATCGTAAATTTCCAAAAAATTACTAGAGAAAATTAAAAACAAGAAAAAAAAACAATTAATTATTATTAAAATTTTCTTCAACTAAAAATTAATGATCAAAATGTCTAAAACAACATTCATTTTTTATCATATATGAAGTCATTTTCATATTTTTAATAAAAATACGCGTAATCCTTCATCTACATATAACAACAAAACATAAAACGAGAGTGTATAAAAAATTATTATTATGAAAAATGGTAAAAATTTTTACTTTTCATATAAATTTTACCATCCCTTAAAAATAACAAAATCAACAGAAAAAAAAAAAAAACTATTAGATTTTATCATCACAATTTATTTAAACTTTTTCAAAGCTCATCACGACACTACATTAATGTTTTCTAAGAATGTTTCAGAAATTTTTCAAAACGCATTAAATAAATAATATTGCGTACACTCTCATACAACTATTATAACAGTTTTTTAGGCAACACCTAAATAAGACCAATTAAAAGTACAACAAATAAGAGTAAAATTTAATGTAAACTTTCAGCTTACATCACAAAACGTATGTAGAATATTTAGAGGGTAAAGAGAGCAAGTAATATGTTAGAAAAATCTACATTAATTATTGTTATACAATCGCTATAGGTGCTTGTTACAAAATTGAAATTTAAAAACAGAATTTTCTTGTTCACATATTTTAAATGTAATAGAAAACACGAACCAATCCCTAAGAAAAATTTTGAAAAAATATTTATTTTTATAATAGTTTTTAATTTTATTAAGTGAAATTTTGCAATTATAATTTTGCTCCTAACTATTAATTAAATATTAATAATACAAATTACTTACATATACACTGTTTATTCAACAATTAAAAAAAAAATATCCTTTTTTTAAAATTTTCTATTTGCTATTGTTATACAGACCACATATGTGTCTATATATGTGTGAATAAATATATTAAGTATATATTTACAAATATAACAATAATAGAGCTCCATGTATACAGTTTTCCATCTCATTAGATTTAATTATCAAAAAAAAAAATATGACAAAATGCCGAAACAAATTTCATTAAAAATTTTCTATTGGTTTTTTGTTTTTATCGTAAATAGTAGCATTTGTATATAAACTAAATAGCATAAAATATATTTAAGATTTACTAATACATACATACAAAATTTTTATATTTGTATTTGAAATATATGGACCTATAGAAAGTATTATTGTTGTTTTTTCGTTCTGATAGAAAAGGACCAAGTGTCTTAAAATTTGAAGTGAATATTCTCAAAATTTAATGAAATATTTTTGAATTATTAAATTTTATTTTACATAAAAATTATTAAAAAAAAATTTTTTTAAAAGCCGGCAATAATCATATTTAATTATATACAATAATAAACAAAATTGCATACTTTTAGGGGTATTTGATACTAAAATTATCATTTCAACAATAAATAGCTGGCTAGTTATCAAGAATTATTTTTAACAATATTATTAATTAATACAGTATTATTAGTTAGTTAACAGTATTATTAGCTCTGCTTAAGAGAGCCTAAAAGAACAATATAATGTCAATTCAAATAGTATGTCAATTGCATGAGAGAAAATTATATCAGAGATAAAATATTACAATAATTATTTTATAAGAAATTTTCACATTATTATTGAATTAATTTATTGTCAAGACAATTGATGTTAATTATAAGAAAATTTTATAATTTTTAATTTGTGATTTTTGTAATTGAAAATCCTTATAATACCGTATTGGGTACAATTATTGACTCTCTGATAATTTCGTAGAATTATTGATACTCTAATTGTTATGGCACTATTCGGTTGAATTTATAATTAGTAGTCATAATTATTAATTACAAAAATTAATTTTGGATTTTAATTATATGGCATTTTCTTCATTTTAATTTTACGATATTATATAATAAATTTAAATTAGTAGGCTTTGAATTTTAAAAATAATATTACAGAATTTATTTTAGGCAAAAAAAAAAAATAGTGAAAATCATTAAGAACTTAAACATGTAAATTCAGTATTTTTTAAGACTCCTGTGATATTTAAGTTACGCTATTAGTTGTATAATAATTATTGTGATATACAATGAGTTTATGAATATAAGGCAGTATTATTAATTGAGTATTGAGATTTTTTGAAATTATAATGAAAATTTTAATATTTTTAAAGAGACAATATTTCAATTTATAGGCTTTATCTTTTAAATTAAATGAGTCTTTAACAAAATTAAAATTCTTCAGGATTCCGAATTAGTTAAAGGCTTGCATTATTAGCTTTTTGAATGTTATATTTTACGATTTTTAATTTCAAAAATGTTTCCATCATTATAAAATTGGAAAATGAAAGGATATTCTCTAGGAAAACTCAATGTTTTTTTTCAAAATTCCAAAATTTTTCAAATTATTTCTAAATTATTCAAGAAAAAATTATGAAGAAAATAATTTCAATATTATATGAAAACATTAAAAATTTTTTTTTAAAATGAAACACTTTGTTTCCAATACAAGTACATTATTTAGATATAAACTTACATACATTAAAAGAGTACAATACGAAAATTAAAAATAATAATATTAATACAAGTATATTTTGTGTGTATATTTGAATTAATAATTATAAGGATAATTTTATTGAATTTTCCAATTTTTCAATATAAGATGGGAAAGAAATACAAAAAAATATTTCTCTATTTAAAATGAAAATATATTTCAATTTTCTTTCTATTCGAAAAATTTCAAAATTAAATTGAAAATATTGTAAAAAATTTTTAATTACTAAATTAAATTTACTATAATAAAATTTATAATTCATTCGCCAACATTAGAAAATCTTATGATTTTATTGAATCTTATGATTTTTAAGTATTAAGCTCTGAATTTTTATTATTAAAAAATGAAATTTTTTTATAGCTACCTTGAACATTAAAGTTTTTTAAAACTTGTCATCAAGAATCCCTTCAAATTCTGTTCAAAATTTAAATTTTTTAAGTAGTATTTTTTTTTTTTTTGTAACACTTTTATTAATAAATTTTTTTAAGTATCTATAATAAGATACTTGTGAAAATTTTATTTTCCACTAATACACATTTTTCATATCAGCATTTTTTTTCCTTGTAAAAATTTTCCGAACACCGGATTTAAAATTTCAAATACCAATTAATTTATTTTTAAAAAATTTTTTTCTTAAATTTTAAATAATTTTCTTTTTCAAATAATTATGAAAAATGATTTCCATTGAAAATTTTATGCAAAAAAATTATTATTATATTTTTTTCTTATTTGTCGCCTTTGTCAGCAAAACTCTTGTTACACAACTGAATTTGACTGTGCAAAAAAATATTATGAGATTTTTTTTATAAAAAATTTTTTTCAAATATTGTACGTAGTGTTAGTGGAATTTGGTGTGGTGTTTGTTCGAATTTCTGAATACATAAAATATATTATGAATAAAATTTCGGTTTTGTTGAATATTCTTTAAAAAATTCATATATACATACGCTTCTGGTTAAGGACCAAAGAATAAGGATAATTTTAAACATAATTATTTAAGAGAGAATTTTTTTTCGATTTTTATCAATGTGTTTAATAAGATTTCAATAGTAGTCTCATATTTATAAACTATTTTTATAATAGTATTTGAGAATCCTTTGAGAAAACAAAGAGAATAACAAAATAAAAATATGGAAATTTCCAGGCTAAATAAATGAATTTTGTTAATGTATTAATAATACGTAAACACGTATATATACTGAGAACAAAATATAAATTTTCCCTTCATAATGGGAAATGAAGAGACTAAAGGGATTGAATTATAATTTTCAAATTCTTGCATTCATACCCTATGAATTTTATTAACAAAAATAAATATTTGAAAGAAAAATTTTTTTTCCAAAAAAAATTGTGAATGATCATGAAATTTATTTTAAATCGAAAAATATTTTAAAATCTTGTAGATTTTAAGAGTTGCCATGAATTTATTATTAAGAATATTTAAGATTCTGAGAATTTTATTTCAGTATTTTTATTGTAATAAACGAACTATAAATTTCTTAACGAAATTCTTTCATAATTTCTTTCGTCAATTAAGAATTACAATTGGCCGTAAAAATATGCAATATTTTTTATTTTATTCCCTCTAACTTAATATTGATATAAATCTATTAAATAAAGATATAAAACTGATATCCTTTATATCAAAATTTCTTATACGGCAAAAATATTTCCCTAGTTTAGATTTTTGAAATTACATTCAAATCTGAAGGTATAAATTATAATACTCTTGTAATATTTAAATATTTTCATTATAATTCAATTGAATTTAATGCGCATGACTTTCCAAAAAGGAATATACAAGGGATAGTCCAACAATTTTAAATCTTAAAGGACTACAACAATTTCCAAAAGCTTCTATTTTATCCAACAGATTTTAAGCAAATAAGGGAATTTATTAATTATATAGATTTAATTGCAATTACCTAATTAGATAATTACTGTTAGTTCAAGAATAGTTTTTATTGACAATTGAGTTTTGTCATCGCAAAATCAAATATGAGTTACTAAGCTCTAAAATATAGTTATACGAATTTTGAAATTCAATTAATAAAATTTTGAAATTTAAATGTAAACTAAATACAGAACTGATGCAATAAGAGAGGATAAGAGATGCAAACTGAAGGTATATTCAAAAAATTTATTTTAATTTTCAAGAATAAAATTAAAATTAAATTTGAAATTTTAATTCAAAAATTTCATAAGTAAAATATTATGGCTACTAAAAAATTAAGCAACAAATACAAAACATACTGGCATCCTTATTCACAAACACATGCACGCAAGAGCATACTTATTTATTAAATTAATAAATTCATAATAGAGAGAATAAAGTTATTTTTTTTTTCTCTCTCTTCCATCAAATATTTTAAATGTATTCCTTACTCTCCTAATAATCGCAATGAAATCCTTATTATAATTGTGTACTACATTCATGAATGCACTCACACATTTATAACGAGAAAAAGAGCGCATGTTCCCTTTTATATTTTTACAATAAAAAAATATTTATCAACATTTATTTTTACAAATAATTTACAAAATTCAAATATTCATGGGATATAAAGTGTGTGTGTGTGTATAGAATACATATACACAACATTAATTTCTTTTCTTACAAAAGAAAAAGGATAATATTCTCCTCTTCTTTTATAATATGGAAAGGATAATAGTCTTATATTATGAAAACGAAATGCGCGACAATGTACCCCCTTTTGAAACAAAAATCCTATACAATGACAAAAATTTTCATTTTCATTCACTATTTTTCATAATATTTTCATTATATACACATATACATACGTATATAGATTTTCATTTTCATTTAAATATGTGGAAAATATTAGAATTCTAAAATATATATAAAAATATTTTTTTTATCTACAAATAATTTTAATTCATAATTATTTGTTCTAGAATATTTTAGAAAAAAAATTTATAAATGATGCGCAAAAAAAAAATTATAGAAAAGAAAACAGCATCCTACTTTATCCTTATATTATCCTTTTTGAAATAATTTCGAATACAAAGCATTTGTATGTGTCCATGTATAGTAAATTGTAATATTTGTAGGGTACATCGGCCGCATATACAATATAAAATATGAGAAATATTTTGTTGTTCACAAGTAGCCGGTAAACTTACAATTTAATTTTTCTACATAGTTGTATATATTTTTATATATAAATTTCTAAGTATATATGTATATGCACTTATTATATTTCATGATGAATGTATTTTTAAATGATGTGTTGAATATTTTATAATCGGAAAGTCTCCAGTGGTTAAAATTATTCTTTTCTTGCCTGACAGATATTTTTTTTTTAAATAATGCATTATTAAATTTTTGTATATATACACATTTATTTGCATATATATATATATGTATATAAATGTGTGTATATACCTGAAAAGAATACATTAAAAATATACGAGATGGGAATTTCATGTTGGAATAGAATCCTTATAATGATCCTTAAGATTATTTTAGAATTATTTTTCAAGTTCACTGAATTTTTTTTTTTTTTCTCTTCTTCTTTTTTTTTTGTTGTTTGTTTTCTCCTTGTCCTTAGAAATAAACAAAACCTAATAAAGATTAAACTGAAAATTGAATAAATTAAAAATGTTTGTTTTTCAATTTTTAAGAGTGAAGAATTGCGTTGTTAAAAAAATTAAATAATTTCTATTTAAAATTTATTCCAGTTAAAATTAATAGAATCTTTGAAAATTTAGAATTTAATAAGAACGTAATTTTGATTTGTTAAAATTTTCACAGGAAAAATCAGTTTATTACGGTAGCGCTAGGAATATTGGTAGCGGAATTCTCATAATTAATTATAAATGGTTAGAAAATGAGGGAAATTTAAGTAGTACCAAATGGGAAATTAACAAGTTTTGGAATTGAAAATTTTGGATATGGACCAAAATAATTGTGGTAGTCTTTTAAAAGAAAATTAAGTAGTTTCTGTTTCGTAATGTAAAAATATTTTGTCTAGACTATGTTTGTGGAGTACGATTATCAGAAAATTTGGAACTTGGCTTGCTTTCTAACGGTACAATACCATATTCATCACATAGTAGCATTTCTCTCAATATTTCATTTATAATAATTAAGTTAGTCTTAAGAAAGTTATCAAAGAACTTTCAAAGAAAAGTTTAATAAAATTACAGTCTTTTAATTTACTGCTAACCAAGGATACTTTCATAATGTAAAAACTTGTTTTAAAATAATTTTTGAATTGGGGGAAATATAAATGTCATAAAATTGACTTCAACCCGAAAATAGCTATTTTAAATATTAAAATCACTTCATATTTTTATAAGGAAATTCAAGGTGAATAATGCACGAAATTTTTTTCAAATTTATCAAATTTTTCAAACTGGATTTATTTCGTAATTCATTTGTAACTAATATTGTACAATATGTCTCTGCCTCCGGCGGACCTGCGTTCTGTCAAGCCTTCAAAGTTGCTCGAATTCATCAGAATGGTAGGTCTCGACGGGGTATTGTAAGGTTTTGTCCAACACCTAGTTGGGTGGCACAATAGATCTATCAAGTTCGCGGTGCACTGTTCGATTTTCTTTGCAATCTACAATCCCCTCCCTTTCTAAATAATTCAAAGACATTCAAAAAATAACCTAAAAAATTCCAGAAAAAATTAAGTAAATTTTTTTTATGTTAGGCACAAATTATCCTTAAAAAAGTCACACTATATTTAAAGCATAAGGCAGTTTATTAATATTAAAAAAAAATTTTTTTTATAAGACTTACCTTACAGCAATTGCTATTGGACTTGATTTCATATGTATTGTATGTTTAACTAATTTATCAAGAACACCTGATCTTGGATTTTTAAATTTTGATGGATCTGTATTACATCTTGGTCTTGTACTTTTAATATGACTTGTTAAATATGGTGGCTCTTCAAAATCAATTTCATTACTTTGATGTGGTAGTGTAACTAAAATAATAAAAATAAAAGAGAATGTAATTATAAATACAATAAATATGAAATTTTCTTATAAAAAAAAAAAATTCCATTACATAGATCCTTGAAACGATTAAGACAATTACATGCAAAATTTCCCATTAAAATTTGTTTTTTTTATTAATTTACCAAAAAACCAAAAAATTTAAAAAATTAATTTTTTAAGTTTTTTTCTTTTTTGTTTTAAAATTTTTCCAAGAAATCCAATTTATATTTACAAAAAATTGCATATTATTAGGCGAAAAATTCTTTAAATTATTAGAGTTAGGCTAGCTAGTTATTATTTTAATTGAATTTTTTTATAAAAAAAATTATTAAATCACAAATTTTCTTAACACAATTTTAAAATTTATTTAAAACAATTTTTAATTTATTTACAAAGGAAATGCCAAAACTATGACAATTTTAAAATTTAAAAATAATGAAAAAATGAGTGAAAAGAAATAGTTAGGCTAGCTAATTATGAATTTTTCTTTTAATATTTTCTAATAGGCTTAAAAATATTTAAAAATAATAATAAAATTATACATGCATAGCTACATAGAGTGTTCATTTATATTGTAGGTACAAATGAAACAGAAAAGGGAAAGAGATTGGAAAGGTCAATTCAACATAAAGTTAATGATTTTTTTTTTTACCATTTATGATGATCTAGCAACATAATTTAAACTTTGACTTCAAAATAATTTTCATGTATCTAGATGGACTACTTAAAATTCTTGTTTTCTTACAAAATATTGACTTGTTTCTGTGTCCAATTGATAATTTTTCCGGAAATGAAATACAAAACAACAAAACACTTAAATATGGAAAATGCGCATTGTTTTTCAAAACAAAAAAAAAAAAACAAAATCGTATGACAATAGAAAATTTTCATATTATTTCGAATGACGTAGGCATACTATAGATATTTAGAATTATAGGTGTCTTTGATAGAATTATGCAATAATATAACATTTTTTTTTTATATACAAACATACTTGGGAGAAAAAATTTGCCCTTGTTTCATGTAAGTTCAATATAAGCATAAACTCACAATTGAGCTCATAAAATTTAGTTTTTCAATTATTTAGAAATATGGGACATTATTGCAATTCTGAAGAGTTAGTAAGAAGGTAACCGAACTCATAAATAACCTGCTTATAAATGGCTTGTAATAAGTTAAAATTTTTTAAAATAATTTTTGAATGAAATTCTATAAAAATTCTCTTCACTGCTTTTTCATATCAAATTAATAATAAATTAAATTAAGTATATAAATATTTTACTTTAATATAACAGTTACTGTATAACAATAATTAAACTGTTATACTAAATTTAAAATTTCAATTAAGTTGAAATGTAAACAATATTTAACATGTGTGCTATATGTTACATCCAATATAGGTAGACTATACTATAAGATCGTATATTTTTCATAACTCTCATTAAAATTCTCAGAGAATGCTCTTACATTAAGAATCATATATATTAAACATTTTTAATGAATTTGTTCTAATTTAAAATTGATACTTTGCGAGAATTTAATATTCAAAATGGTGTACCATTTATTTTTCTCTTTTAGTGAGAATTGATGAGAAAGAGAGCATAATATTTTTCAATGGACTTTAACACATCCAATAAAATATTATAAAGGTTAAATGACATTAAATGTGCACTAAATCGAACGAAATTCGTTAATGATGTTTGACATACATAAGAGTAGAGTCTAAGGGTATATACGAATTTTTATAAAATATAATTTGTTGAGAAATGGAAAATTTCACGAACATTCAATTACACGTTCCACCATGCAATAATCATTCGTGTGAGTTTTATTAAAATTTTTGTGATAGCTTTATGAACAACTGTCTTAATCACATGTAATTTGGTTCTAATATTTTCTATTATTACATGATATTACATGATATGCCAAAATTTTGTTGCCAAACTTGCATGAACAAGAAGGCATCTAAGGTATATTGGTGTTAATTTACATATTTTCAATCAGTGTATTTTAGCATTACAAACGGAGAGTAAATTTTCCGCAGCCCAAACAAAAATTTAATTAATTTTACTTTTTTAATTTTCTTGTTTTAATTTTATTTAAAAAAACAAAAAATATAAATATGTTCTTATATACGGATAATCCCTAAATGTATGCAAATCTAATGTTTTTCCTTTTTGTTTATTTTACACCATGATTAAAAGTAAAATCCGTTCTTTAGTATTTTGTTTTTTGTCGTTAATCCTCTGTCTTAAATACACACTAATCGAAATTGGAATAAAATTTTTCTTTATTTTTTTCAATAAAGTATAGAATAAATGTCTAGAGGTTTCAAACATTTTTATTCAATTATTAATAGGTTAGAAAGAAGAAAATTAAGCGACATTTTTACATATTTCCAGAAAAAAATGGGATTTTTTCAATTTTAATTTTTATTACATAATTAAATTTTTTTAATATTTTATTATTTTTAGCAAAATTTCTTAAGTTTTGTGAGAGTAAAGCACTTAGTTCGGATTAGATTATTTATGTAAATAGAACCAGTGTTGCCAAATCGTGGGAAATTTTCCATTTTAAGGGAAATTCAGTTGAAATCATATTTTCTTTATTTTACTTATTTTAATTAATTTTTTTTATTAGTGACACTTGATCAAAAATAAAGACTCCTACTATTTATTTTGAAGGTCTTAAACTCATATAGTATTAATAAACTTAAGAAAGTACCATTTTTATTTTGTCAAGTTAATAAATACGGTTTTCATTTAAGTATAGTGCTAAATGAATGTGTATAAGTAAAAAACTTCCTAAATGTAAAAAATACAGGAAAAAATAGGATTTGGAAAGGGACAAAATGGGATATTTTTAACTAAGTGTAGTAAATTGAGCGAGAAAGAGTTGGCAACATTGAGTAGAACTCTTTTCTATATTTTTGCTCTTAATAAATTTTTTCTGATAAGTACCATAATATATAACAAGATAATGTACCTAAGATGGTATAAATTTCCCACTTATAATTCGTGTATTCTATGTAACACTATATAAAATTCTTATTGTCGTAACACAAACATTTAAGGTCACTATTTTATTTTGTATTTTTCTTTTTTAATTTAATACAAAAATCATAAAAATTTTAAGTTGTTTTAAATTGTATATATAAATAAAAAACAATTTGTTTAGTAAGATTTTATATCGTAAAAATCAATAGTTTGTATAGATCAAGATATATACGATTTTGTTATAAGGGGGTGGACAATACTATTTCAAATTTATATAGGAACAAAAAAATTATTGTCATATTGCCAAAAAAAAAATTTTTTCTACTCTACATTTTTTATAATGATGTAAAAAAATTTTTATTGATTTCGAAACAAAAAGAAAAAACCACTTTAAATTAAATTAAAAAATAATTTTAATTTTGTGTACTTTGAAAATTCTCAATTTTGTAATTCATTTTGTTTTAGGGTAATTAATTCCCCAAGGTAATTCCCTCTTTATGTCTTCTTTCATATTATAAATTATAAAGATTTCAATTTATAAAATATTCATTTCTTAAAAATGTGAAGGTCAAAAATGCGCGTGGTGTGTGGTACAATTTGAGTGCAAAAAAAAAATAATTTAATAAGGTCTTCAAAAAAAAAAAAAACATAAAAATTTACATTTAAATTATATTTTTCTAAAAGAATTTTAGAAAAATTTTTTTTCGGTATTTGACGTCTTATTTTTAACTGAGACACGCTCAATTAAAATATTTGAATTTCTTGAAGTATATAAAGAAACTGACGGAATTGCCAACGATCACTACTCTGGCACAAATTGGAAAAAATTAGTTATACACGCAAAAATTTGCTCGAATCACATAATTCCCAACGACATATAGAATTCAATAAAAAATTTCCCAACGCCATATTGAATTGAATAAAAAATTTCCCAACGCCATATTGAATTCAATAAAAAAATATCCCGACGCCCTATTGAATTCAGTAAAATTTCATACTGTTATACTTTAAATTCTTGCTATATAAATGGATGAAAATTTTAAATCATGAGAGTTTAAATGATATTAAAAATCTGTAATACAATAAGTGTGAACATAAATCCTATACGAGTATAATTTGATTATAAAAAATGACATTGTACGAGTAAAAACAAAATTTTAATATCACGAAAAGAGAATCACAGTATATGAAAATATAAGCCACATGTAAAAATATTACAGAACAAGAAGACAATATAGCTGTTCTATAATATAACAATTATTAAAATAACAATTTTTTAATATATTAACTCGTTGTGTTATACCGTATTGAAAATTCTTTATATGACCCAATACTTAACTTTCTATATATAATATTGTTATAACAATAAACTGTTATGAAGGTTTTATTTTTTTTTTGGTTGTTATATTTTAAACCGATTTCACAATTATGTTTTCATAATTTACATACATATACAAATATACAATAATATTCCATGCATATTATATTAGAGCAAATATTAAAAATTATTTATACACAAGATATAACAGTATAGATTACTTTTATGTAAATCCTTATAAGAACACATTATAAGTAGGTGTAATATTAAAAAAACTTAGATTTCTAAACTGTTATAATTAGAAGATTTTATAAAAACCATGTTTAAAGCAAAAGGAAAAGAATATCACAGTTTTTCTTTAATTTAATTTTAACTAAATTTGATCCTTTTGTAAACTCTTATAAATTTTAAATTGTGCACAAGTATGAAATTTTAAGAAATAATCAAAAAAGAGAAAAAGGAACAAAGTTTAAATATCCGAAGTATTATAGGGAAATTTTTTTCTTACTGTTATACAAATATATATACTAATTTTTATCATCAAAGAAAATATGTTTTTTCTGTATAATTTTTATAATACGAGAGTTTTGTTTCTATAAATTTCAACACCCAAGTGCCTTTAATTGAATCACTTGTTAAAGAGTGAGTGAGTGCAAGAGTGAGTGAGTAAATATTTTAATAAAAACAAATTTAACTCAAAATTCCTGTGTATATATCCACAAAGAGGTGAGTTTCCCCCTTTTATTCAATGGGAGTGTATTATCTCGGAAAGTGAGTGTGAAAAATCTCTCTGGTGTGAAAAAAATTGAGATCCGTTAGTCAGTACTTTTTAAGTGAAGAGAATATTTTTCAATTTAGTATTATTATCTCTTTTTACTGAAATTAAGAAGATGACAGTGTTTGTGGTATGGTACTAATGGTAATTTCAAATTTTTGCCAAAATGGAGAAGTAAGAGGGAAAAAATAAAAAAAATAAGAACTATAATTGAATAAATATTAAAGATCGCATTGATAAAATGAGAATTCAGTAATTCAACATTTTGTTCTAATTGGGAGATGATCTTAAATAGAAAAAGAGAAATATAATTAAATATAATAAACCCAAATATAATTAAAATTTTCTCACCATTACGACTACATTTATTAAAAATATAACATTATATCTACAATACACCACAATTAATATAACATTTTAATAATAGTATAATAATATAAAAGCACTAAATTAAAATATTTAACCCGGTATTATTTTATTTATAATAATGAAATTATTTTTAAAATTTTAAAAAATTTTCACCACAGTTTTAGAATCTCTCATTATTTTTGTTATTTAATTCTCTAACAATATGTTGGAATACATTATAGCGCGAATTAGAATAAATATATAAGAAATAATGCACATTACATACATATAACAGATATATTACAAAATAAATCACAGAAACGCATATATATAACAATATAGAAAATAAATATTTTATACATATATGTAATATTCTCTTATACAAATAATATAAATATTTACAATATTCAACATAATAATATTAAACTACCATATATTATAGCATAGATATACAATATTTTATAGCACATACATATACTATTAACGTATATACAAGTTAATAAAATTTTATATTATTATACAGTATTAGTTACCCATGTTATAGAGAGGACATAAAACTTACTCTCACCACATAAAATTTTTTTTTCACCTGAAGATGAATGATGTTTTTTTTTTCTTCTAAAATTAAATGATCTTGATCTATAAACGTATACACCAGTTAAACTATTACTGCTACCCATACTTTCAAGTGATGACGTTGGTGATGGTGAATTTCGATTAACACTTAAATGATCCATTTCTTTTTTTTTAATTTGTAAGTTTTACTGTTATAATAGTTATTATTATTGTTTAAAATTTTAATTTATTATACAGTAATGTTATTATATTATTATTGAACAATGTTATATTGTTATATATATCTTTAAATTTTAGCTAGTAATTAACCACTTGCAATAGTAGTATTCAACTACTTGCATATAACAGTTCTAATAATAATTAATTTTATTATTTTAACATTAATATTTAATATATAAATTTTTCATAAATTCTTATAAAATACGAATAGTAATTGAAATTTTTCATTATAATTTAAACTGTTATACAATGTATAATAAATCAATAAAAGATTACATGATTTCTTTGCCACTAAAATTTTGTTTATTCATTTTATTTTGATTAATATAACTAGTAATACACAATGTATATATAGGAACATATAATTAATTATTATATATAAAGAGATTTACTGAAATACTACTTATATGTCTAATATACGGTCATAAAATTGTATATCAATTAAAAAATCATTAATTTTTTTATATAATATGCAATAGATAGCTTTCAACTAAATTAAAATTTATCTCCCAATTATTATTTTTTTTCAAGTTTTTTTTTTGTTATTTATTAACGTAACTTTCTTTTGATTTTAATTGTGTATAACGTAATAATCCAAATATATACGTTAACACTATAAAAAATATCCTTGTCGATTACCTCTTAAGAATTTTTTAAATTAAATGTTTATATGACTTTTACTATGTATATATTACACTATAATACAAATTTCTTTCATATCGTATATTTGTATGGAGGTATGGCCCTCAAAGTTTTCATATATCGTAAATAACTTTTAATATTTTATTATATTCAAAAATTCTTTTATATTATTCTCACTTATTGAAATTTACTGATTACACTTCTTATTAAAATTGTCACACAAAATTTAATTAAATTGCTATACAGGCTATTACAAATATGTTATAATTAACAAAATGTACAAAGTTCTTTTAACATTTACAGCCCTAATTAACAGAAAAAATTAATTCTATCTTCACTTATTTTCATTACATTCCTTTTTCTCCTTTTTATTATTATTTTTGTTTTGCACCCACTCACAATATTGTATATACAATCATCACATTCAGTAGTTAACAATAAACTAAGAGTGAATATTCAAAAAAAAAATTATATACATATATATATCGTATATTTTTATATTTAAGTGCATTTCATCACTTACGTATACCATAGAGGCTATTGCAATTTTATAAAAAGTTTGTATAAATTATAATAATAAAAAGTAAAATAACAGAGAAGAAAAATTGAAAAAAAAGAGAAATATAAGAAGAAAAAATATTTATGAAAACATTAAAGATTGAAAATCAATTTACAACAACAATCTAAAAAAGAAAGAAAAGAGAAAAAGAGAAAAAAAAAACGATAAACAAAAACAAGAAATGCTCTGTTAAGTGTTTTCTTGTAATAGTATGTGAATGAAAACGAGAATATAAGAGAATTTTTTTTACGATATTAGAAAAAATACGATATTAGAAGTAACATTTTTTTTTAATTTTTTTATTTTTAGATTATGTTTTTTTAATATTTTCTTTTGTTTCCGTTCTATTAAATTTTGTATACAATGCACTTTAACATTATTTTGATTTTTTATAAGAAAGGCTTTTAAAAAACAAAAGCATATACACTCATTTTAAAAGGTTAATAAAATTATAATAATAAACGAAAAAATAAATAAAATAAGGTGATCAAGATCAAAATGGTTCAATTCGGAAAATGTCGATTTTGAAATAATCTATTGAACTTTATTATAGGTAGAATATTAATTGAAATAAAATGGTCTAACGTGATTGGTCCTACAGAAAAAAAATAAAATTTGTAAATTTTAATTATTTTAATATATTTATAGAGACGATGAGGAGGATATGGAGGACGAGGAAGAGGAAACGGTGGCGCTGATACTCATGACCCGAGCAAGGGAGCTTAAGGCAGAGATTTAGTGAGTGATTTTAGTTGATTTCTGAGAAATTCGAGCTAGTTCTGTTGAGGGGAAAAATTAAAGCTGGCGGACAGCATTAACCTGACCAAACCTAACATAAATACATTTATATAAAACTTTACTAAATTTCTCACAATTTATGTGTTTCCACAATTTAAATATAAATTTTTTTTTTTAAAAGTTTTAAAAAAGCATTTTTCTCGAAATAACACTTTTCGATTTGAACCAATTTGCGCTTGATTGTTTCATGTGTTAGACTGAATTGATTTGGTTAATAAAAATTCTATACCAATATTCTTTTTAAAAGTCTGGTAAAAAAAAAGTGTTTGAATGTATGTTTAAAATTGTGTTCCGTAAAAATTAATGCATTTTAATAATATGAAAATCATTTGACAAAATATTGCAAAGTTTGAACTTTCTTTCTGCCAATCGAATGCTAAAATTTATAATATTTTAATTTTAGGCAAAAATTTGGTAAGATATTTAGAATTCAAATATACTAACAGTTCATTTTTCAAAAATTATGAATACGTAGTTACGATATTATTATACCAAATTATTGGGTAAAACGAATATAAAAAATTCATAGGCTTCAATTATTAAAATTAATATTAATTTCGTTTAAATTATAACACAATTGTATGTTAAATAAAAAGTGCAATGTTTCACAAATATTATGATTCAAAATTTATTTCTCAAAATATAAATATTTATTTGATATTTGGATAATGTTCTTCCGGCTCTTGATTATTCTATTGAGTCTTATTAATAAATTTCTAAATAAACTGAAGCTCCCTATTATCAATTTCTATTATAAATCTTTATTGTGATTGTTAATTATATAAGAAATTTTTGCAATTTTTCCCTATTAATATTTAATATTGCATGTGTTATACAAAAATTCATATAATCCCATTTTAATGATTTGAATCTATAATGAATTGCGTTATTCCTACTTATAAAAATATAGGCGAAAGTTTATGTTGTCCTAGATTTGGTATTCACATATAATGCGTCTATAATTAGATACACGTACATATTGTTACTAATTGTATTATTTAACAAGAAAAAATTCTATACTCGTAAATATAAAAATAAAATAAAATTTTACTATTTTCATTCTGAATTGTATAGATTATAATAATAAGAATTGATAAAAATAAATTTATTTTGTGTTATAAAATTGTGATCCGAAAAAATATTTAAAATGTTTACCATATTGAACTTGTAAGAGAGTCTTTATCTCTATAAAAATGTAAGAGAATTAAATTTTTGCATTAAAATCCAATAATTATCTTGATTTACATCCAATTAAATCACTGTTATATTAGTGTTTAATTTCCAATAATAAAGGAAATTAAATATTAAATTGTACACCTTCAACTGTATATTGGGGTTCTAATCTGAATCACTATATACTGAATTCACTAAGTGATAGTGATATTAATTATAAAGATTTTTAAAACTCTATCAAAGACACTATTCATATTAATAAATTGGTTTGTGCTTACACTAACAACATAGATTGTTTTTATGATAAATATCTTTATCACTATTATAGTGATTCGATACTCTGAAAATGCCTTCATATATTTTGACATTAACCTCATAACTAATTCAAATATGAGAGAATTATTCATACCAAATGAAAATTGCAAATGAACTGAACACGGTTGTAGAATATTCCACATATTCGTACATTTATTGTAACAGCAAACAATATAAAGTTATACAAATAATTCAATAATTTCACTTTGAAATTGTGTCGTCCACCTCCGTAGAAAAATGTGTTATGTTTTATTTTTTTTTCAATAAATATAACAACACTATATTTGATATTGATCAACTTCCTGAACAATATATAACAATTAAATTGTACTTCCTATAAAGGTATTTAATATTTCCTATATTATACATAGAGAAAATTGAATTTCTTTTTTTAATGGAAAATTTTTTTTTTGCCAATTTATTTGCTATATTTAAGGATATATTCAAATAGTATTGGAATTATTGTGAATTATGAATATAAGGACATTTATGCGTATTACGAATTTTTTAAAAGAACAATAATTGTGTTTATTATTTTGATATTAAATTTCATATTTTGACCTTATTATATTGATGAAGTGAAAGTAAATTTTTTTCAAAGTCTTGGAACAAACAATAAAATGGTCTTATCAAAATTATTGGAACGTGACAGACAGCAACTGCAAAAATTTTGAAAAAAATGAACTAATTGTGAAATTGTAGCTTATGGTTGCAGCTTGGTATTGTGTTCCATGTAATAGCTCAAAAACTACATATTTGCTGCACACAGCATTGTGTTTACGATATTATGCATATATTGCTCATTTTATTCAATAAGATGTAGAAAGCAAAAAATAATATCGTAAATGTTTTCGAATACAATAAATTTCGGCACTGTAATTGAACACCAAAAACAATCACAAGAGACGGCTTCTGTTTATAAAAATGCTATTGTATAACATAACATTTGATTATTATTAAAATTCAACATTATAGTAAATAGAGAGGAATTATAACACCTTATTGCTTCAAAATCTCTCTCTCATTATTACGATCACACCACAATTATATGCATGAGAGAAAAATTTTAAACATAGCCTACTTGTAATTAAACTGGCATGATTATATAATATTTATGTTATAAAATCTAAATTATATCTGTTATACATTATGACCGATATATCACAATACATATATAAGAATATATAATCTTTGTTATAATATTTTTAAAACTTTAATAAAAATAATATAATAATTAAAAATCTAACAATTGTGTACCTATAAAATATAATGTAAACGATATTGTATAACACTATAACACTATAAATATAACACTATAAATATAAATATATTCGTACATTATATCCTATTTAAATTAAATCGAAATTTTAGCACCCACATATGCATACTCCGCATATTATACATGTTCTGTATTTAAATTTCTTATAATATAATTAAATTATATATTCATATATAAATTGTATAAAAGATTTTTTTTATTAAATTACCTTACATATAAATATAAATAAAGTAATTAATATTAAAAATATAATAATATTATGGTTATATGATTTGAAAGGATAAAACCATTATACTAGTAGAACATTTTTGATTAT